CCCATGCCAGAAAATTGTCTGTGCAGGTCCAAGTCTTCGTATAGCCCCCAACGGTACCCCCATATTCGGTATTTTGACGATTTTAGAAGAATTTTTTCTTCAAGTTTCGCATTTAAATATTGTAATAACTATGACAAAAGTTGCCTGTGCAGGTCCATGTCGTCGTATAATCATTTGGTATTTTTAAGATTTTAACAAAATTTTAAAAGGATTTTTTTTTTGGAAATTGCCAAATTTGTACCAAATGGTGGACAGCTTTTTTACTTGTTATGTATAGAATAACGATTTTACTCACCGTCATATATGAATATATTTTCATACGTAAGGCTTCTTCTAGAGTATAATTATTCGTTATTACTTTAAGTATTTGATCAGGTGTAATCGCAGAAAAGGACACGTCTTCACTGAGCAGCAATTACTGGGTTCTAAAAAACCTACTGCCTCCGCATATTTTTCGCTTTATTTCTATAGTTTGGTCCGCTAAAACTGTGTATTATGCGGATCACCTTAATTTAGTATTACCATACATTCCGATTTTTTCGTCATTTTAAGAGAGAGAAATTTCTACACAATTCATGTGCATATAGCCAACGTGTGTATTATCTTTTATTGGTTGTGTTTTAGATAAAACTCTTATAAAAACGGAATAAAAAATTGGGCGGAGCTTATTTCCCACTTACTCTCCCATCGGTTATGCTCCAATTATTTGTAACAATAAAAAAGGTTTGAGTTTGGTCTCTGTGCTTTAAAAAGTTATAAGAGAATACATAAAACAATATGAGTTTGAGGTGAGCGAAAGAAATTGACTTTTCTCCATGCATTCATATGTATGAAAGAGTAGTGAGATAACTGACTGACTGATCGAGAATCAACGCCCAGGGGAAACGGCTGAAGCTATAATCTAGAATTTGCACGAGGGTCTGTCTTGGTGCGAATGTGTGTTATTAGACTAAATCATCATAATTAAATTATATTCCAAAGATTGTAAAGCAACATACACCCATTAGCTCGTAGCACAATACTATGTGCCAGGACTAGTTTACACCAAAATGTGCCTTCCAGGACAATTCTGCCGGTACAATATGGGTATCTACGGAAAGCTTATGAAGTCTACTATCCATTGGCATTCCAAGTATTAACAACTGGCCGGACCTTCCTATAATTTTGTTAATGCCAATGGATAGTAGACTTAATAAGCTTTCCGTAGGTACCCATATTATGCCGGCAGAATTGTCCTAGAAGGCACATTTTGGTGTAAACTAGTCCTGGCACATAGTATTGTGCTACGAGTTAATAGGTGTATGTTGCTTTACAATCTTTGGAATATAATTTAATTATGATTATATAATGCATTTTTTAGCGTTTTTATACGATAAGTAATTAAAAATCAAAAATATTAAGGAAAAAACAATTTTTATGTAGCTCTGTTAAGTTAACATAGCTATGTTATTTTCTCTGTTAAATTCGTGGCTCTAGTTAAATTCGGAATTTATCGTAACGGACCTTATTATTTATTATTATTTTGGACAATTGGTTATTGTGTGAACAGATATTGCTTGAAATCTTAAATTTGGTATTGAGGTCGTCCTTCATGTGTACCCTGGACATATGATGAGGAGATATATAACTTTGGTGAGGAGATTGAGAAAAACTTCTGAAATTTGGTATTAACGTTACTGATGGTATCTGTGTTTGAGATTTGACTGTGGATTGCAAATGCGTCGTATATATTTCCCTATTGGTGTCTCTGTTTTATATATGGGGGTGGTTTGAAATTTGATATTGGTATCTGGAATTGAGATATGGAGCTGGTTTTAAAAATGTGTACTATAATTGTACGAAAAGTACTAAATAGTACTTAATTTGACATTGGTTGAAGGGATAGAAAGAAATTTCTGAAATTTGATATTAATATTACTGATCTTATCTTTATTTGAGACTTGTAGGTGGGTTTGGAAGTGTGAACACTATGGTACTAAACTTGATGTTGAATAGTTAGAGCATGAATCCTGAAATTTAAAATTGAGATCACTGATGGTTTCTAGCATTTAGAAATGGGGGTGGCCAATTTTTATTATGAAAAGAAAACAGTTTGGACTGAAAAGTTGGTTGTGGTTTTACTAATATCCTCGCCTAAAACCCTTTAAAGGATTTGCTCTAATTCTCCACTTGGAAGTTCTTAACACCCAGACGATATTGTTTGGAAAACAAAGACCTGAGAGCTATGGCTATGTGGGACCGGCATCTTAAAATAAAAAAAAATTGCCTGGGAATTGAAAATCCATTTGGAGTTTTGCTATTCTGACCTAATACCATATCCCAATGAATTGAAAGATCTGTAAAAGACTCCGGAAAAGGTTGAAATTGAAGGATACCTTAATATGATGGTTATACTAAACGTGGGCCTATATTGATAATTTTACTTCTTTCTAAGAAATTACCAATATTTTATGAAATTAGTACGAACAAGTAAAAAAGCAGTAAGTTCGGCCGAGCCGAACTTTGAATAACCCCCATCATTTGGAACGAATTAAAAAATTTTCAAAAAAATAAAATCCATTAAAAATTATTTTAAAATCTTTAAAATATCTAATATAGGAAGGTGCCGATATATGTGGGGATATACGATATTGAGGACCTATAAAGACAAATCTATGTCTGCGTGTAAAGTACTCACAAGGAACTCCTTGTGTGGATTTTCAGATGATTCCATTGGAAAAAGTGGCTAAAATCATCAAAATACCGAATATAGGGAAGTACCATTATATGAGGGCTATACGATATATCTGCCGAGGTATAAAGTACCCACAAGGAACTACTTGTGTGGATTTTAAGACAATTCCGATGAAAAATGTGGGTAAAATCATAAAAATACCGAATATCGGGGGGTACAGTTATATGGGGGATGTACGATATCGTGGATCTATATAGACAATTCTCTGCCGAGGTACAAAGTACCCACAAGGAACTACTTGTGTGGATTTTCAGACAATTCCATTAAAAAATGTGGCTAACATCATCATAATACCGAATATCGGGGTACCGTTATATGGGGGATATATCTCCGAACTTGACCTGCCTGCAGACATAAGAGAGATCTGTGCAAAATTTTAGCTTCCTATCTTAATTCGTTTAGACTGCAGCGTGATTACAACAGACGGACGGACAGGGCTAAATCGTCTTAGAATTTTACGCCGATCAAGAATATATATACTTTGTTGGGTCTAAAATGATTATTTCGATGAGTTACAAACGGAATGACGAACTTAATATACCCTCCATACTTTTTTTGGTGGAGGGTATATAAAATATGGCTAAATTAGCAAAACGGGGACCGACATGACATATTTTGTACAAATTACTCTACATATAACCGAAAGTCCTGATTATATATTATAAATTATAATCATTCAGCCTAACAGTTAGTACTTCAAAATTGTTGAAAATCGGCTCGGATTTACCTATAACTCCCATACATATGCTTAATCCGATTTATTTTCATAACATGCACTCCACAGAAACGATATTTAGTATCAGATGTCATATATAGGGTGAGATAAAAAACTGCAACAAAGTCAAATGCCATAACTTTTAATTTTTGTTGTTGTTGTTGTTTTTTAATTTTTTTTTTTTTAATTTTATTGAATGAAAGCAAGAAATGTCGGAAATTGCATCAAATTTTAGAATAAGTTCATATTTGTTCGAATTGGTCAACTTTGGCACGAATTATGGCCCTCAAACGGTATAGTGGACTTTGCTTGAGGTGATCGAAAATTTGGTTTTTTTAGTGCCAACCTTGCTTTTAAAAATACTCCAGACACAATAGTCCAACGGAGATTTTGGTGGTCATTCAATATTTGCCGAATGGAATATTGCGATATGTTCAGTTCACCAGCCATTTTTCGGCCACAGCGATGCGGGTTTCGATCAAGTCGTTTTTTTACTATTCGAACCATTTCTGCTGATGTTGCTGTTTTCATACATACATCATGCTAAAATTTCCAACTTACAAGGTTTTGTATATTATTAGGAGGTTCGAGGAGGTTATTCGTTAAACCATTGCACAATGGAGCCACATCCATTTTTTCAGTACAAAACAATGTAATCTAAAAACCAACAGTGACCTCAATATCAAATTTCAGCTCAATTCATTCACCCGATACCAAATTTAGTAATATTTATCTACATCTATCCACCCTAGACACCAATAGTGTTCCAAATTAACACTATTTTGTACTACTCGACCAATTATATTACATTCCCAAAACCACCTACATATTCCAATTCCAGATCCCAACAGAGACCTCGATATCAAAATTGTGGACTCCAGCACTATCACTTTACGCACTACCATATTTAGTAGCATTTAGTACTTTTCGAAAATTTATAGTACACATTTGCAAAACAACTTTCATATGTTAAACGTAATTTCCAACCTTGATTCCCATACTAAATTGCAAGTTTCCGAATAGTATACTTCCATCCGAATGATATACTTCTGGCGTGTTCTAAACTCTAATATCTAATGCGCAGGATAACACCGGAAGGTCGTATCCAATTAGTTCAAAACTTGGAATTTTTATAAAAAAATACCGAATTCGAAGAAGCCAACTTCGGTTCATCCTTTTGGTTCCTTCCACACAGCAAGCCTTCAAGAAAGAATATTATAGTTTTGACTATTATCGGCTGTCTTCGACGAGGATAGTTTTGGAATCACACAAAAGTTGTAAATGACTCCGCCCAACATTTGCAAAACTTTCTATTACTGTTTTATCTTAAATACATATTAATTTATTTTTTTTAATGTGTATAAACACATGGTGTTAACTAATCATAATTTCTATAATTTTCTTTCTCTTTTAGAATATGATAGGTGAAAAATATAAGATAACAAAAGTCTTTTATGGCGACAACATATAACATTTGGAACATATCTGTGACCGAAATTAACTATAAATAAGTAGTGTTGAGAGCTTCCACATCAGTCACGGAGAAGATCTTCAAGTCAACACCACATCGGTTCTGAAAGTCCCTTGGGAAAATGGCAAAGTACGCCCTCAACATCCTAGTTCTCTCCCTGGTCCTGTCATTGGGTTCTGGTCGCATTGTAGATGACATCAGTTTCCATAACCCGCAACACTTGGCAGGTCAACTACCTCAAACTAGGGCCAATATGGTCGTGGATCAATTAGGTGTGAACAAACGTACTCTGGACGAGGAAAGGGACCCAGAATTTTGGCGTACACTGGCAAGGGATGAACTTTTGAAAAGCGTGGAAAAACAAAAACTGAATGTGAACAAAGCTAAGAATATTACCAGTAAGGAAAGCTCAAAAGTCGGGCGGGGCCGACTATATGATACCCTACACCACTATGCATATTTAGTAGAGCTCTCGTAAAAAGGTTTATACAGGGCATTTCAGAGCTCTATGAGATATTTGGTACAAAATCAAAATCTATCTAATTCTATCGTGCATTTTACGAACTATAGCTATCTCTGAACCGGGTTTCTCCAAATTTGACTTATTAGCTTCTAGACTGAATTCGGTCTTATGTACGAAAATTCAGGTGATTTGGGCTGATATTGACCATTTAGTGCACAATTAACCTGAAATCGGATGAAGATATATATGGGAGCTATATCCAAATCTGAACCGATTTTCACTAAATTTGATATACTTGCTTCTAGGCTGAATTTGGTCCGATGTACTAAAATTCAGTCCATTTGGACTTATATCGGCCATTTGGTGCACAATTAACCCGAAATCGGATGAAGATATATATGGGAGCTATATCCAAATCTGAACCGATTTCGATAAAATTACAAACAGCTATTTCTGGCCTGTATCTTATATCTGGTACCAAATATCATTCTTGTGGAGTGCATATTACGAATGTGAGAGGCTTAAACACCAAATCGGATAAGACATATATATGGGAGCTATAGCTGTTTCTGAACCGATTTTCTCCAAATTTGTTGTATTTGCTTTAAGGCTAATCTCGGTCACATGTGCCAAAATTCGGGTCATTTGGGCTGATATTGGCCATTTGGTGGTCAATTAACCCGAAATCGGATGAAGATATATATGGGAGCTATATCCAAATCTGAACCGATTTCGATAAAATTTAAAACAGCTATTTCTGTGCTCCATCTAATACCTGGTACCAAATATCACGGTTGTGGAGTGCATAGTACGAATGTGAGGGACTTAAAGATCAAATCGGATGAAAGATATATATGGGAGCTATAGCTATATCTGAACCGATTTTCTCCAAATTTGATATACTTGCTTCTAGGCCGAATTCGGTTGGGTGTGCCAAAATTCAGGTAATTTGGGCTGATATTGACCATTTAGTGCACAATTAACCTGAAATCGGATGAAGATATATATGGGAGCAATATCCAAATCTCAACCGATTTTCACTAAATTTGATATACTTGCTTCTAGGCTGAATTTGGTCCGATGTACTAAAATTCAGTCCATTTGGGCTGATATTGGCCATTTGGTGGTCAATTAACCCGAAATCGGATGAAGATATATATGGGAGCTATATCCAAATCTGAACCGATTTCGATAAATTTTACAATAGCTATTTCTGTGCTCCATCTAATACCTGGTACCAAATATCACGGTTGTGGAGTGCATAGTAGGAATGTGAGGGACTTAAAGATCAAATCGGATGAAAGATATATATGGGAGCTATAGCTATATCTGAACCGATTTTCTCCAAATTTGATATACTTGCTTCTAGGCCGAATTCGGTTGGGTGTGCCAAAATTCAGGTAATTTGGACATTTGGTGCACATTTAACCCGAAATCGGATGAAGATATATATGGGAGCTATATCTAAATTTGATCCGATTCTCACCAATTTCAATAGGGTTCGTCCTTGGGCCAAAAAAATATTGTTTGCAAAATTTCATCTCAATCGGATAATAAATGCGACCTGCATTTTGTTCACAAGAATACATGGACAGACGGACGGACGGACGGACGGACGGACGGACGGACGGACGGACAGACGGACTGACATGCATAAATCGACTCAGAAAGTGATTCTATGAAGGTTCTCAAAAGTAACTATGTGTCTATCTCGTTTCCTTCTCCATGTTACAAACAAATGCACAAAGACATAATACCCTTACCACTATGTGGTGTAGGGTATAATTATGTTCCTTGGCGATGGTATGTCGCTTTCTACAGTAACAGCTACCCGTATCCTTAAGGGTCAAAGGCAAAATCATACCGGCGAAGAAGATGGCTTGAGTTTTGAAAAATTCCCACACATGGGGTTGAGTAGGGTAAGAAGAACACCTCATATAGTGCGATATATAAAACCAATACAAATGTTTATTTTTTAAATTTAGACATACTGTGCCAATGCCCAAGTTCCCGATTCGGCCTGTACCGCTACTGCATATTTGTGTGGTATCAAAGCCAATATTGTGACCATTGGTGTCACTGCCAATGTGGAATATAACAACTGCAGTGCCAGTATGGATCCAGCTAATCATGTCTCATCCATTGCTGCCTGGGCCCAAAAGGCGGGTAAATCAACTGGCTTCATTACCACAACTACTTTGACCCATGCCAGCCCAGCGGGCACTTATGCTCATGTTGCCAATCGCTTGTACGAGAGTGACACAGACGTCAAATCCTATGGCCAAGATCCAGCTACATGTGTGGATATGGCTCAACAACTTGTTAACGATGAGCCCGGACGTAATTTCAACATCATGATGGGTGGCGGCATGGCAAAATTTTTACCCAAAACTGTTAAGGATTCCCATGGAAATTATGGAATACGTGAAGATGGTAGGAATCTCCTTTCCAAATGGCAGGGAATGCACCCTGGAGGAGTATTTGTCTCAAATCGGGCAGAACTCTTAAGTGTTAACACAGCGAAGGTTTCACATATTATGGGCATATTCGATACGAACTCAATGAATTATCATGCCGTGGCTGATAAGACCAAGCAACCTTCCTTGTCTGAAATGACAGAAACCGCTTTGAAGTTGTTGCAGCGCAACGAAAAAGGTTATTTCATATTCATCGAAGGAGGTAACATCGATACCGCTCACCATGAAAATAAAGCAGCCATGTCTTTGGATGAGACTTTGGAGTTTGAAAAGGCCATACAGTTGGCTCGTGACATGACTGACCCTCAAGACACTCTAATTGTAGTTACCTCCGATCACGGTCATGGTCTAACAATCAATGGTTATCCGGGACGCGGATCATCAATTTTGGGTTTGAATCCAAATGATCTGGGATCCGATGGTTTAAAATATTCCACTCTTATGTATCCATTGGGTCATGACCAATTTACCGATGAAAATGGTAAACGTGTGGACTTGGAGAAAATTCCCCGAAATATTGGTAAGAGATTCGAGGAAGACCATTTTGTTTTATTTACTTAACTAATTTTTATTTTCATAGAAACCGTGTATCCTAGTTTTATAAAATCCAATATGGGTCATCATTCGGGTGAAGATGTTGGAATTTTTGCCTCAGGACCATTTGACCATTTATTCACCGGCGTATTGCAGCAGAACACAATTCCTCATTTGATGGCCTATGCAGCGTGTATTGGTGACGGACCAACAATGTGCGATGCAAACCAAAAGGTTTAATCAGTTGTTGAAAATACGTTTGTAAATAGTTGAACGATTTTATATATTTAGATTGTTCACAAGAAATAAACTTTGAAAAGAGCAAAAATATGTATATTGTGCAATTGTTATTGGATATATATGAAAGGCCAAGCAGGTGTCATATTAACTATACAGGGTGAGATGAAAAAAACTGCAACCATTTTTAGACTGCTGTCCATTCTAAGCCACTCTTCCGACAGCTGTTAAAATTATTCCAGTGACAGATCATTGCATTGTTCACAAGCGTGAGAATTTTCCAGAATAAAAGTTATTCGTGATGGAATTCAAGGGTGATAGTGTGATTTATTCATATTTCGCTGGAAAACCACAAGTGGCTATCGTTAGAGCACTCCAGCATTTAAATGTGAATAAATCAAAAGAAAGAGCAACATCAGCAGAAATAATTCGAAAAATAAAGAAGCGACTTGATCGAAACATTCGTCGCAGTGGCCGAAAAATGGCTGAACATATCGCAATATTCCATTCGGCAAATATTAAAAAATGAGCTCAGGGTAAAACCATTGAAATTCCAAAATGTGCAAGAACTTACACCGCAATAGGAAAAAATAGACTCAAAAGAGATAAAGAGTGGCTTCACTTGGCTGAAAGTGGTGAACTGCCGAATTTGGGTTTCTCCGATGAGAAAACATTCATTGTCCAGCAGTTTGTAAACAAACAAAATGATCGTGTTTACTTGCCAAAGAGGTCAGCTGAATATGTGCATCTTCGTTTGGCCACCAGAACTCAAGCGCCGGTCATGGTGATGGTGTGTGCCGCCATAACAGCCGATGGTGGCTGTTCGCTCATATTAATTGACCGTGACCTCAGAATAAATGCCGAATATTATCGCGAAAATATTCTGGAGGGTGTATTAAAGCCTTACGCACGCAAACATTTTGGCCGCAGACCTTGGGCATTCCAGCAGGACTCAGCACGCACAACCCAAGAATGGTTGCAAAATAAGGTTCCTCCCTCCATTTCCAGCGCACAATGACCACCAAAATCTCCGGATACCAATCCGTTGGACTATTGTGTCTGGTGTATTTTGGAAAGCAAGGTTGGCACTAAAAAAAAAAAAAACAAAGTGTCGATAACCTCAAGCAAGCGCTTCGCCGAGAATGGGCCAAAATACCGCAGAGCAACATTCGGGCAGCGGCAGTGACGGTTTCATTGGCCGTTTGAAGGCCATAATTCGTGCCAAAGGTGACCAATTCGAACAAATCTAAACTTGTTCTAAAATTTGATGCTATTTCCGACATTTTTGTCTTTCATTCAATAAAAAAATGAAAAATTATGGAGTTTGACTTTGTTTTTTTATCTCACCCTGTAATGTGTTTTTAGTTCCTATCCTATCCTATGTGCTGTTTTCGGCACATTGGACTAACTATTTTACATTAGTTTGTACTAATGTTTTGTACTATTTTTTTTTTTTTTTTTTTTGGGAACCAGAGCTTATAAAATGTTAAGTATATATCAATTCTTAAAAACAATAGTTTCTTACAATTTTATGGACCTACTGAAAAGAGTTGAAAATAATGGAAAAAGCAATTTCATATATTTTCTACACGCAGCCATAACCTTGACCCTGCAACGGTAACCATACCCTACAACACTATGTGTTGCGGCCAAAAATTATGTAATATTGGTCCACGACATAGGAAACTACATATTGATCTTCCAGTCTCTCGTCGTTCTAGCTATGTATATTCGTCCGCCCGTCTATTCATGCTAAATTGTAATCACGCTTTAGGTCGCAATTATGGCCCGATCCTCACGAAATTTGGCATAGAGAATTGCTTAAGGTCAGAATAGAAGCCTCTGTTTCGGGAGTTGATCGCAAATATTTTGGTGTTTAAATGGATAGGGGCTACAATTATAAACCAATCTACTCGGAATTTTTGCATGGGCTAGAGTTTAGAGCTGGACAGACCTCTACCAATTTGGATTGTCATCGAATAATATTTAGCTGATGAAATTGACCAACATTTTGTGTGAAAAAATATCAAACATATCGAGCCCACAAATACATGAATGTTAAATTTCCGTTCTTTTCCAAAGAGAAAATTTGGGAATATGACGTAGCAGGAACATCTACTTCGTAAAATACCGATGCTTTTTTAGCGTTTGTATATTTTTGGAAAATATTGGTATCGGATCTAAATAATTCCAATTCCTTTGAAGTTTCCCATTTTTAATTTGAAGTATTCCATTTGAAAATCGACTTATTTCAATTGTAGTTCAAATTTGAAAAATTAAATTAGTTCAAATTTGAAATTTAAATTAATTAAATTGGTCTCGAGGCAATAATAAAATAATACGAAATGTCTCTAATTTACAAAGAAAAAATTGAAATACATTTTTTTATTTCTGGCGTCAAAGTCAATATTGTGACCATTGGTGTTGGTTCCAATATGGAATACAATAAATGCAGCGCCAGTTTGGATTTATCTAATAATATCTCATCTACCTGGACTAAGAAGGTGGGTAAATCAAATGGCCTCATTACCACAAACACCTTGACTAATGTATGTCCCGCTGGTACTTATGCTCATGTATTAGAAATGAAATTTCTTAAATAGAATATAATATAATAACCTAGCTGACCTAACTTATCAAATTGTCTGTTTTCTTGGTATAATTATTGATTTTATTGATTTTATTCTCACTCACCATGCATGGCAAAGGAATGTCATATTAGCATAAAAAACTATTGACAAATTATTTTACCGATTTTTTAAGCCTTTAACCTGTAAAGGAAGCCTTAAAGTCGGGCGGGACCGACTTTATGATACCCTACATCACTTTGCTAATTTAGTAGAGCTCCACATAACAATTAAAAGTTTTTATGGAAGAATTCAATCATACAGGCCATGATTATAATTATAATTAAAAGTTCAAAGGGCTAAATATGCCGAAGCATTTGTATCTTTTAAATTCGGATTTGGTGCACAATTAATTTAAAATCGGATAAATATATATATGGGAGCTATATCCAAATCGGAACCGATCTCGATAAAATTTGGCAAAGATATTTCTGAGCTGTATTTGATATATTTCCTGTATTTGATATATTTAGATATTTGATATTATTACATACGAGCTTCTAGACTCAATTCGGTCGTAAGTGCTAAATTCCATACCATTTAGACAAATATTAAATGTTCCTCTGTTAAAGCAATCTTTAAAAATTTGAAGACCATACCTCAGGTTGCTTGCACCTAAATATAAATTTTCTAATTTTAACAACATTAAACGAAAATAACTTAAAAATTGTCATTTTACGACCCTCATACATTCATAAAATAAAAAAATACAAACATTTAATGTAGACAAAATGAATTACGTGTGAATAGCGTATACTTTGTGTTTTCATGTGAGTGTCACGTTCTAATGTATATTTAACAAATTGAGCTATTTTTGTCTAATTTTTCATCAAGGCATCTTTTTCAAAAGTGTTGTGTCATTTGTGGTGCCTGTTAATTTGTGAGCCCACGATAAAATAGTGAAAATCATATTTATTATACAAAAATTGATATAAAATTCACCAATTCACCTACAACATGAGGTTCTTATTGTCTTAGATGACTGCTCAAAAATGATGGGGAAAGTGCAATGAGGCTTTTGAAAAATAATAATGAAGTTTATAACGTAAGTGTAAATCGTGAGGTCTACCGTCCGATTATATCAAACATTTTTGCCCTCCGATTTGGGGTTTTAAGTCTCCACATGCGTAATATGCACCCCAAATCGAAAAGACATCAGATACTGCTCGGAAATACGTTCTAAAAATTTTATCGAAATCGGTTCAGATAGGGATATAGCTCCCATATATATATATATATATA